GATGAAGCTGAGGCCATCCCCACTGGGTCCCTGTTGTTGTTCTTAGTTTCCAAGAAGGACAGTCTTCACGTCTGTTCAGCCAGATGCCCCAGACTCACAATATGTGTCCATCACTGTCAGAGAACTCATTAAACAATAGTTACAGTGGGTAGCATTGACCCGACATGCTCCATGGCCAAGGACCATCCTAAGTACTAGTCCTTGCACCACCCTATAGAGTAATGCATTTTGACGATGATGATGGTGATGACGATGACGGATGGTGATTAGTATTATCGTCACAAATCAGGACATGGAGAATCGAGATTAAAGAACTTTTCTGCATGTGGTGGAATCTGACACCCTGGTAGTCTGACTCCATACTTTTCACCACTAATGTCATCTCTCACTAACCTTAGCCCTAATCGTGTCCTGTTCTGCCCTGCTATTCCCTCAAAGAATTAATAAAACACCTGTCCCCCCCCCCTTTTAGTGAACATGGAGCCCTCCAAGTCTCCCTCCTTGGACTGAAGCCCACTCTGTTCACAGTAAGGGACAAGGTGGTGAGTCACACTGTTCACTGGTTTATTGAGATTCAGGGAGATCCTTCCCCAAAAGGCATCACAGTGTGAAAGGGACACCACCTCCCACCGCACAGGTCCCTCTCTCCATCTCAACACTCAGGGGTGCCTTCCTTTGGTCAGGATTCTCACCCACTATCTACTGGGAGCAGCACTGAAACCTGCCCATTAACTCTCTGTTAATTGCCCCATAAAAACACAAAACCAAAGGGAGCAATCTTGGGAGGTAGTGTAGAAAAGGAAAGTGTATGTAGTGAGGTTGCTGAGGAGTCAGTGAGTGAGAAGCTCTGAGCGAGGTACCAACTAGATTATTAAGTAGTGACATAAAACTGTATGAACGAATAAGAGAGAAAAGGGTCTGGTTCCAAGAGTACTGGAGACCCAGGTAACCCCAGGACTCACAGAGGGACATGTATTTACAAGAGATGGGATGGGTTCACATGTTCTTCCTATCTGGGGGTAGGGATTCCCTGCTTCCTCTCAACCCACCCCCTTTCCTCTTCTCCCTTTCCCACCCCTTACTGGTCTGTCCTCCCTTACACAACCCTCACTTGTAAAGCAAATGGACTCGGCTCCCATCACAGCTAAGCCTGTCAGGGGGCTCCGGGGGCCCCCTGGGTAGGCCCCCAGAGAGGTCTGGGGGTGTCGGAGGGTGGCGCCGTGAGCGGAGCTGCTGCCGAGACTGAAGCTGATGGCGCAATTCAGAGACCCGCTCTTCCTTCTGGAGGAAGAAAAACAATTGGGAGAGTGGGAGAAGGGGAAGTCATGAAGGGGTACGGAGGAGGGGAGGGGAGGAAAGACAGAGAAGAATGAGGGGGGGATACAGGGTTAGATGGACAAAAGAAATTTAAATGAGGAATCAGGAAAAGAATAAGAAAAGCCAAAAGAGAACAATGCAGGCACCAGTTGAAGAAAAAGATCAGGGAAATAAAGAAGGGAGAGAAAATGGGGACGCGGGGAAAGGTCAGTGCACACAGCTTCCAATAATCATACACAGATTCATGTCAACCCAGTTTGCATATCCCCCACTCTGGCACTGCACCAGCCCCTCACTACAGCCTGGGGCACAGTGTGCACCACAGGCACCTGCCCAGATCCCCTTTACTGGAGGGGATGCTCAACACCCAGCTGATGGGGGTGTTGGCTGCCAATGCTCACAGCTGCCCCCGCAACATGCCCCCCCCACAACCCATGGCCACTCCTTCGCCTCCAGTGGAGTGGGTCAAGTCCACAGTGCAGTTCACGCTCCAGAGCCCCCTCCACCTGATGTGGCCAACACTAGATTTTACCTGAGATGGAATCCTTGCTCAACCCCTCCCCCTCCCTTATCTTCCTCCACTTACTCCCTGGTAGGCTTTCTCCTGAGACCCTCCCTCAGCAGATCACATGCACCTGGACCCTACTTCAGACTCTGCTTCAGAAAACCCAGCCTGATACATGGGCCTCCTGGAGCCCGCCAGCACCCTTGTGTCAGCACATACCTCAGCAATGATCTTCTCCAGCTCGCGGTTCTCCTTCTCCAACAGCCGGGACTTCTCCTCCTCGTTGTTGTTGGTCGATGACCCTGTCTTCATGGTGTCCTGAGCCTCCGACTGCCATTCCCCTCGGGTAATCAGTCTGCGCATCTGGGGATGAATGTTTGGGGCATGGGACAGCCACGCAGGGACTGTGTCCGCCATCAGCTGATGGTGGGTTGGAATTGGAAGGAAGGGAAGTAAGAGGGACGGGCTTGGCCTAAAACAAGCTAAGAAATGAGAGGAAGGGGCAGGGCAGGGGGACAGAGTCCTGGGAGGAAGCGATGGAGGGCCGTGGGCCCTCTCCAAGGGTGGGAGCACACCCAGAACCTCACCTTGGGCACGAAGAGCACGACCAGGGTGATGTAGGAGGAGAAAACTATGGCGAGTGAGGCAAAGGCGAAAGCGGCATCCTGCTGGCTTGACAGGATCATGGTGACGGGGGCGGTGATGAGGCACAGGACCTGGGCACAGCATGGTCAGGGAGTCTCAGACCTGCAGGCTCAGACCAGACCCAGGCTTCTCCCCCAGAACAGAGTCTGGGAGATCAGGCTCCTGGTGAACTTTCCATTTAAAAAGGATCCAACACTCAGGATCACCCTCAGCTCTAGCTTGAGAAGAATCCCAAAAGAGAATCACTTCATTGGGAGGTTGTGTGGAGATTAATAAAACAGTGTCTATGTGTGTTTTATAAAGTACTTTACAAATCCGAGGCATTAAAAAACTCTTTAAGCGCCAGTCGAGTGGCTCAGTTGGTTAAGAGCGGGAGCTCTGAGCAACAGCGTAGCCGGTTGGATTCCCACATGGGCCAGTGAGCTGCGTCCAAGCTGAGCTGCCGCTGAGCTGCCAACAGGTGGCAGGATGGTTTAGTGGTTAGACTGTGTGCTCTTAGCAACAAGGTTTCAAGTTTGACTCCTGCATGGGTTGGTGGGCTACGCCCACCTGCGACTAAGACTGAACACGGCACCTTGAGCTGAGGGGCCGCGAGCTGCTGATGGGCAGCCGGATAGTGACTGGACTTGGAGCTGAGCTAGCTGCGCCCTCCACAACTAAGATTAAAAGACAACAACTTGGCTGTTCCCCTTCCCCAATTCCCCAATAAAATCTTTAAAAAAAAAAAAGCCTTTTAAGACTTCCATCCAACTGATCCGAGTCTAGTGCCTGATTTTCCCCAGACCTCCCTATTGAGGTTGCTGCAGTCAGCCCTGGGGTCAATGCCAAGTATCCAGGGAGCTTACCGCCACATTGTAGATGGCCATGCCCACAGCCCGGTGGTCATTGATCTTCTCGGTGGACACGCTCTTGGTCTCATAAGCAAGAAAGATACCCAGCAGCAGCAGCAGCCCCTTGTAACCATAGAAAACCCCTACAACAGCAGGAAGGGGTCACCCGGGTAACAGTCTCCATGCTCCCATTCATTCCCAACCTCTCTATGCCCCTTACCTACTTAGTTGCTTTCTTATAACTCCACAATGAAAAGGTAGCATCCTCTCCAATCGAGCCACCCTGATCTAGCATACCCCTTCCTGTCCACTCCCCCCAGTGTCCGCCCTCCTTGCCCACACCTCACTGCTTCCTCGTGGGAATACGGGTCATGTCACACTGGAAAATGACGGTCGTGAGCAGCTGTCAGGCAAGGGCCTGAGTCACACAACAGTGTCTCACCGCCTTACCCTCGAGGTGGGAAGCCAGCTTTGCAAACTGAGGGTAGGTCAGCCATTTATGGCCATAGATCAGAGTGATGCTAAAAAGGCCAGAGGGGGCTGAAACCCATGCCCTTACAGCCCCGGTCTTACTCTAGGTAGCTGTCTAGACACAGGTGGTGGCAGGTCTGAAGATGAAGCTGAGGCCATCCCCACTGGGTCCCTGTACTCAACACAAGTTCTGCCTTATCCCTTTCTTTAGACCCTAAGCTCCTCACGGCCAAAGACCAGCTCTCCCAGACCCTCAGAAAAGATTAGTCCAATGATAAAGAGGAGGACAATCACACTTGTTAACGTAAGACTTCTGCCTCTTTTTCTAAAGACTTTTCTCTCTCCAAACCTACTGTCCTTGCCCCACCCCCACTTTTGCTCCACCATCCCACTCCTTTCCCCCACGTCCCACACACCAAGCCACGTATTCATCTTCTTGGAGCTGCAGTGTTCCAGCTGGGGCAGAATAGACACATCAATATCTTCCTTTGGTTCTTCCTTGGCAAAAGTCTAAGGGAGAAACAGGGCCATAGAAAAGATGGTTGCCAGCCTCCCCTGCCCTTCCCACCTTAGCTCGGTCCCTGACTCCCAGCTCTGTCCCTCTTTCCTATGAGAGCCCCAGTACTGAGGTCAAATCCCACTCTAGGCCTGAAAGCATTTGCCTGAACACCTTGGAAATGTTTATTCTCCCTCTTTCCGTGATGCCTAGAAAGTCTACACATCCTTCTCAGACCCCCACCACTTCCATTCTTCAGATGAATCCAGAGGCCTCGGATGGGGCTCCTTCTGGGAAGGAGGAAAAGCTCTGACGTGCAGAAGGCAGGAAGGCAGTCTCCCGCAGAGTGGCTTTCTCCTCAAGACCACATGCAGCCCTGAAGGCCCGGACCGCCACTGAGCCCATCCGGCCTCCTGAGCTCAACGTCTCCTCTCAGGTGATACCTCAATGGTCCGGTGCAGGGGGTCCACAATCTGCCAGACGGCAAAAGTGAGGACGTCCATGCCCACCAGCAGGCCCACCGTGGCGTATAGCTTCCAGGGCTCCAAGGTCTAGGTGAACATGGAACATGGGCATGTCAGGGGAAGTCCACTAAGCCTGACGGCCAAGGCACCAGGGGCTGAGGATGGGAAGAGCTCACCTTCCTCCACTCCTTCTTTTCCTCCTTCTTTGTGAAGACCGTGTGGACCCACCAGATCTTGGTGAACATGGAGCCATAGCCCAGACTAAAGCCCAGACCCAGGAGCCAGAGGCGGGCCTAGGAAAGGAGACAGGGCATGGGAAGAACAGGGTGGGGCAGGTGGCGGGACTGTGACAAGGATGGGATGGAAGGAAACAGATGACCACGCAGGCAGGATGCAGCCAGCAGTGGATGGGGTGCAGTGGAGAACAGGCAGGGAAGGGTCTCCCTACCTTCAACAAATTCCTCCCATCCACCTTCTACTTTGCCACCAGGTAATCTGGCTAAAACCTCCTGGCCACCCCTAATGCCTACAGGTTGCTGCCTGGACACCTCCAGATATGGCATGACACCCTTCACAACATGGCCCCACCTACCCTCCAGGCTCATCTCCCAGGCCTCACCTACCCCACGCTCCAGCCCTGCTGAACTGTTCACTCTCCTCGTATCTGCTCTCTTTTGTGTCTTTGCTAGGCACATGCTGTTCCGTCTGCCCCTGAAGTAACCATCCTTTATTTCTCCAGCCAACTAAATCCCATGCATCCTTCAATATACAAACACCACCTCTTTTCTGAGGTCTGTCCAATTACTCTGCAAGCTGCTTTCTTGTCTTCGCTGCCACAGCCCTTTGAGCAAACCCCCATTCTGATACAGCTCATGCTGCAGTGCCAGCGAACGGTCTGCCCTCCCGCTGCATTCTGGTCTCACTGGAAGCACACAGCTCCTGATGACCTGGAGTGTATGTGTGTGCAAACACCATGTGCATGCATGCATGATGAAGACAGGCACAGGGCAGAGGCAAGGGAAGGGTGGTAGGGAAAGAGAGGATGCTTCCTGCCAACACAACACAAAACCACACAAATATCACTGCTGAAACCAGCCTTTTCCCCATGGCCCCAGAACTTTCCATGTACCAAGAGTCCTGCAGGGCCTCCTCCCTGTAACAGCGGTCACCTCCCTGCAGCTCTCCCAGATGTCAGTTCAGATTTCTACCCCCATCCCTCCAACTCCAACTAAGACTCCCACAAGAAACCTAGTTATTGTTCTCAGCCCCCACACCAAAGACAAGCCACCATTGTTCAAGGGTCCTTTGTGCAGTACCCCCTTTCTTGGTCTTCAATACTCCCTCCCCTTCTCTGCATGGCATGTCATGGCAGCCTTGGAACCAACAAGCGAACCACAGAATGAAAACTCTGGAGGCACAGAAAGAAGGGACAGAGCCAGAGAGAGACCTGGGGGCATGATGCTAGGAGAAGGAATAAGGACAAGAGTCGGGGAAGGACAAGGAAAGGCAGTGAACTGTACATCACAGGTGCTCCTGAGATGGGTGGGAGAGCCACAGTTTGCGAGCCATCTGCCCACCCTTTCTCACCTGGCAGACGAAAGGGAACTGGCTTCTCCCGATGTGGTAACCATCCAGCCCGAGGGGGAAGACAGCAGCCAACGCCAGCGAGCAGCCCACAGCAGTGAGATTATTCAGGTTGGGCTGTGAGTTCTGGATATAACTAAGGCAGAGGCGGGGAGGGCAGGAGAGGGAGAAGAGCAGCATTACCCTCTTCTCCAGGGAGGCTCAGCTCTCCAAATGCCATGCAATGACCGGACCCAACCTCAGGGCCACAGGACAAAGGAAGACAGGCTTGGAGCAGGCAGTCTTGAGAGACAAAGCTGACTCAGTCAGGGGGCTGGAGATGGAGCTGCAGGGGGCTGCCCCCAGCACACACTGTGTTTAGAGCCCTGCACCACGTTGCCTGGTCCCTATTAGCTGCTTTGGAGCAGGGATGGGAGTTATATCCGGTTTCCCCCTTTCCATTCTCAGTGATCACAGGGAAAGCAGTAAGTCAGAGTGTAAACCTCGATGATACATGGCCTCAGAGTTACACAGGTTTGATTCTCACTCCCTTCAGTGGTCATTATCTTGGAGAGGCAGACAGAACAAGAAAAATGTCAGAAGATACACTTACCGGACATGGGAGTTGTAGATGTTAAAGGACAGACAGACAACAGCTAGGACAATGCCCAGGCTGGAGAGAACTGACACGGAGATAAAGAGTTTCTGTGACAGGAAGCGGAACGTCTTGATGACCAGGGTCTGGTCAGCAGGGGGGGACCCTCCTAAGGCACAAGGGATGGGGGAGGAGAAGGGGAAAGAAAAAGGAAGGAGGACAAAGGAATGAAGGTGGGACAGGAGGAAGGGTGAAGAGCAAAGCTGGTGCTGATGGACACTCAAGTCTTTGGCTGTGAGGACATGAGCCCCTATCTCCCTGAGTCATGGCTGTTGCAGATGGAGGGCTCTTAGGGGAACAATCAAAACTGTCATCAGAAAATGGAGCTAATGTCCTGTCTAGAGGCTGAGAAAGGCTGAGCTGCATCACCAAAGCTGTAATCTTTTTTTGTTATTGTTTGTTCTGTTTTTCTGTCTGTCTTGAAGGAAAGGAAAATGGGAAAGGAAAGAAGGGGATAGCTGAGAAATTTATGAGATTTCTTATTTATAACTCAAATCAAAAACTGCAAAAAAGTTTTATGATTCTAAAATCATATTTGATGATTGTATGATTTTACAATCATAAAGCCTAAAAAGCCTCAAACTATCTAGTCTGGCCTCCTAACTTTAAGAAAAAAACACATGTGATTTTTAACCCTGGCAGGGTGATATTCCCAAAGGTGTTTTGTAATTATCATTAAGGGGAAGCTCAAATTTGTCAGAGTTCACAGGGTAAAAAACAGCTAATTTCAATATGTTAAGCTTGGAAAAAAAAAATTAAAAACTGTAATTTAGGCCATGCAGCATTTATAGCAGTACAGAACACTGTCCTAAATTCAAATTATAAAAAAAGTCAAAACTCCAGCAGTGCTGGAAATTACTGGATTTCTGCTAGGAGGGCAGAGAGCAGGAATCTCCAATGGCTGTACCTCCCCTCCGTCCTTAAGCCGAGCCTTTATTTCATCAGGAGGTCCTTCCTTTTGCCCACCTTTAGTATCTTTCCCATTTATTATTTAACCCACCAAGCACACAAAGAATATTCTTGACTTTCCCTCTTTAAAAAGCACATTTTAGCAGAAGAGAATTATATGAGGCTTTCTATCCTCTCCTGTAGTTTAAGCAACCATTTTCCTGACAGTGATAAAGAGGCAACTCTAGCTTCCTCTTCCAGTAAGTGGCCTGAGGTGACCACTGAAAACAGTTCACTATTCGCTTGACCCAGAGAACCCCACAAAATCATGCAAATCAAGAGGTTCAAATCTTTGTGTTCAATTTAAGCACTCTTGTGAAACTGCCCAGGCCATCAAGGGTATGCATATCTGAAAAGCCACCAAGTATCTAAAGGATGTCACGTTACAGAAGCAGTGTGTGCCATTCTGTCATCACAACACAATGGTGGAGTTGGTAGGTGTGTCCAGGCCCAACAGTGGGGCTGGACACAGGGTCGGTGGCCCAAAATGAGTGCAGAATTTTTGCTGCACATTAAAATGCTTAAAAATGAAAAGTAATGCTGGACTTAAGGGTTTAGATGTAGACTGTCTGGTCACTGAGCACAGCCAGGTCAACAAAGCTCCCAAGATGCAGCGTGGAACTTACAGAGCTCGTGGGCGAGTTAACCCATATGTGAGCTCTCCCTGCCACACTGAGAAAGAGAAGATTGTGCCTAAACCCGAAGAGGCTGCACAGAAGGAAAAGATCTCCCAGAAGAAACAAAAACTTATGGCCCGGGAGTCAATTCAGCATCAAATAAATGCTAATAAAAGTAAAAAGTGGCAATTCTAAGCCTGAAATAGCTGGTTCAGATATATTTCAAAAGGCAGCCAAACACCTGCAAAACCTAAATGGAGTTTCCATTTCCTGTCCCTGCCCACACCCTGCCTCTGATCCCCAGTAGCCCCAGCAATGTACTTTTTTTTTTTTTTTAAGATTTTTTTATTGGGGAATTGGGGGAAGGTGAACAGACAAGTTGCTGTCTTTTTGTTCTTCAGTCTAGTTGTGGGGGACGTTGCTTCACTGGCCCAAGTTGACACCATCATTGCACTCTTCCCGGGTGAGGCAGATCAGTCGCTGGCTTCCGGACAGCCGCTCATGGCGGCTGCTGGCCGCTCAAGCTGGCTGCCGGCTACACACAGTAGCCCATGGCAACCCACTGCCACAGGGGCTGCAGCCTATGCCGTCGCCAGTGATTCATGGCAGCCCAGCTCTAGGTTGAGCTGTTGTTCAGCATCTTAGCTGTAGAGGGCAGTGTCACTGGCCCTCATATGTGGGATCTGAACTGGGGCCCTCTGGTGTCTCAAGCCAGCTCTTAACCAATGCGCCACTCAGATCGCAATGTACTATTTTTAATAGTGCATTGATACCCACTGCCTAGTCCCTCTCCAAATACACCAGTCTCCCCTACCTACATCTGGGGTGTTTTATTCCTTTCTTTAACCCTAGCCCCTGGTCCATCTCCCTGCCGCATTTCAACCTAATGGCACCTACCATCCCACCCTCATTCAAATGCATGACCCTTTTCTATGATTATTCGGAAGGGTTGAAGGAAAATATAAACAGGATCCACTTACCAATCCACTTATCCGTTTTGGACCAAGAAAGGTCATCCTTGGTGCTGTCATAGTAGCCAATCTTCTTGTAGCTGCCACCTGGGCAGATGACAATAGGAGAGACCACGGGTAGGTGAAGAGCTGATCCTAGGCATTCTCAACTTCCTACTTTGCTAAAGTAGCTTTCCATGGTTGTACCTGATTTTCCCTTCACCTGAACCCCTGAAAGATACTTGGAAGACCAGAGGAGTCGTTTGAGTAAGCAATCTGATTTAAAAGCGATGTGAGGTGGACCCCAGAAATCAAGATTATCTTATATGTGTAAAGCTCTTCAGTGAGGAAGGCTCCAAGGTGTCTGCCACTCATTCCACAGCCTAACACCTCCCTTAGCAAGACGTCTCTCACTTTGATTCTAGCTTCGAAAGCTTTAAACATTTCTGTTTATTCTCACTCTTACGATATTATCAGAGAATCTATTTTCCCAGTGGCTTTCATTTTAATTTTATAAATTTCTCTTTTGTTGGTTGGCTTGGGTTCTAACTCTTTAACTGAGTTGCACTTGCCTCTTAAAGAGCCACAAAGGGAAACTGAGTCACTCCTAAGATTTCTATTCTAGAACTGTCCCCGTTACCATAACTTTTCCATCAAAAGCCAACTCATACCCCTTTCACCATGGCTGAAGTCCATTCCCTCTTGTCCTGGATACAAAGAAGATCTGAGAGGATGTGGGAAGTGGGAGAAGGAAACAAAGAAACTTTTCACAGGAAGCCAAGAAATGGCTCTCTTGGCCATGCCTTAAGAGGCTGAGAGCAGAGTGGAGTTGAAAAATTAACTCATAGAAGTTCTGCAAATACATGAGTAAGTGTGCTAAGTTACAAGAAAATACAACCTGGAAAAGCCAAACTATACATACTACAGAAAAATTAGGAATGCTTGTTTACATAGCAAGAAAATGTAACGGATTTGCTTTAAAAATAGCAGGATTCCTAGAAACAGCTTTCCTGGAATCCATGTGAAGCAAGTGACAGGTCATTAACCCCTCAACCCAAGCCACTGAAGGGAAATTTCTAAAATTAAAATGGAAGCCACTGGGGAAAGGGAGTGGCTGTTTTCAAAGTGCATGCCACTTTTCAAGAACACAACCACTGTAACTCAAAGATCTCCACCCACACAGGAGCTTTTTCTGTTATTATTATTTAAAAGTTTGATAGACACCAGTTAAAAGGGCAGGTGGTGGGGAGGCAGCAAGGCCATCTTGTGGTGTCTCTTGGTGGTCTTCTCCCAGGCGCGTCTGAGCCCCGCCCCAGCCCGACTCCACATCCCCTGGGCCCCTGCTCACCCTGTAGCTGCTCAATCAGTGTCCACGCCATCCGTGAGCCGCTGGCATCAAACACCACATGGCCCTGAGGGAGGGGAGCACATGAGGGAAGGCAAAGGGGAGAAAAGCAAGAGTGAAAGAGAACATCAGGGACTCTTTGAATCCGTGTTTTTGATCTTAATTGAGCTTCTGAATGAATTCTATTTATGGCATTTGCCTGCATGTAGGACATACCCCAGATGCCCATACCCTAGATTTTAGAAACATTATTCTTTTAAGCAGCTTCACCCATGAGATTTGAGTGAGAAAAATTTCCAGATAGAACACCAGGAGACCTGGCTTCTGGCTGTGTGACCTCAGCAAGTCACCAAATCCCTCTGGATGAGAATTTTCCCATTTTAAAAGGGATTAGGAGATGATCTTTCAGACTGTTTCCTCTTTGAAAATCCTATGATTCTTATCTGACTTACAAATATCTAAAGTGAAAAGAAATGAGGGGAGGGGTTGAATGAAGTGGAACAGACCATTTTTCCCTTCTAGTTGCTTGTGGGCTTTTTTGGTTTAGGGGTCCCTACTTCCTTGGTCTGAGACTGATTATTGCAGGGAGGTAACTGAGAGAGACAGAGAATGTATGTTTCCAGGGGAAGGAGGGTCTCTCTCTCGATGGGAGGACAGGGGAGTGTGAAGGTTGCCAGGACTCACCGAGACACCCTCAAAAGATGAGGAGTTCATTGCCCGGTAGATTTGGTCAGTAATGGTCTGGTTGTTGTAGTTGAAGTCTTCCAGGCGCACACCCGAATGGCCGCCCCCTCCGGATGTCTTGTTCAGGGCCAATGCCAAGGCCCAGATGGCATCGTAGGCCAGTGGTGCCTCCTGGAAGCCACCTGTCTCCTCAGGGTGTCTTTTCAGTCGCTTGGTCAGTTTTTCCACAAATTCCTGGGATGTCTGGGGAGGGAAGAACAGAAAGAAAGGGCTGGAGTGTGGGAAGTAATGGGGTGGGTGTGGCATCTGATTCTGGCTCTGACACTTCGAGTTGAATAGATGGTTTATGTTCGTGCTGTCAGATTAAGCATGTGCACATTAAAAACCTTTATACCCACATGTCTGGCTCAGATCAGAAGCGACTACAGCAGGGATTAGCTGGGTCCAGTGGCTTAGCTTGTATAGATGCTAGCTCAGAACTACAAACAGAAAAATTTAATGAATAGACACTTTTGCAAAAAACAGAAAGAAGAGATAGAGAAAAACCCAGGAGACATGGATACTCCAAGGAAGACCTGCAATGTTGTTCTCTCATCCTTCAGACTTTCCCAGTAGAGTTGACTCAGGACCAAATAGCTCCTTCAACTCTGAAAGACCCTAGAAAAGGTGACACCACAGCCTTCCTCACTCTGCTTGTCAAGCAGGAGGATTTTCTTAAGTCAGCTAAATTCTTACCATCCTCATGTGCTTTCAATTCACTGTCTCTTAGATGGCTTTCAGAAGGCTGAGTGCTGCAGAAATAACCCTCACAGTTTTAAAGTCTATTATTCAATCCCTACTCACACACCTCCCAACGCTCAATCTTCTTTTTCCAAGAAAGCTAAATAGAATGACAGCTCTTTTAACACTGTCATGAAATGGGTCAAGAGACTTGAACTTCTATAGCTGACAGTAACCTTGCTTAACTAAATCACCATAGGCAAATTGTTTAAGTTTTTGGAAATGTCTTCCATATAAAGGAAAAAAAATCACATCTGCCCTTCCTTACCTCCCAGAAACCACACATGGAAGGACTCAGTGGCCACCTCTTGGCAAGGCACATGTGATACACAGGGGCACTACACAACTGTCTAGATTTGGAATGTATGTACATACGCACACCCTAATGAAGGAATGAATAGATGAATGAATTATAAATAAAAATCTTCATTCCTCATGTCTTGTCCACTTTTCTTTCTATTCACCTTTCTGGAGACAGTAGGAGAAGAAAATGCGAAGGGACAGGCAGTGTGGTGCCAATGAAAACAGGCTGCGCTTTGAAGACATGCGGGCCTGGGCTCTGCTCTCATTGAGGACAGGACCAGGTTCCACTCCTCTCTTCATTCTCAGCATCCAGCACGATGCCCAGCCCATAATAGACGTCCATTGGATTAGGCAGTGAAAATAAAACCCACAGAACATGTAACTTTAGGAGTGAGCCCTCTTGCAAACTGTAGACTTTAGGTGATAACGATATGTCAGTGTGGGTTCATCCATTGTAACCACTCTGCTGGGGACTGTTAATAATGGGGAAAATCTATGCCTGTGGAGGGGCAGGGGGCAGACAGAAAATCTGTGCACCTTCCTCTCAATTTTGCTGTGAACTTAAGCTGCTTTAGAAAAAAACAGTCTTTAAAAAAAAAAAATGTCCCCTGGATGGATAAGTAGATGGATGGATTCTATTTCTAACTAATTATTTACCTGCTATGTAATCTCAAACACATTATTAACCCTCAGTAGCTGGTTATTCAGCTTTAAAATGGAAATACTTCCTTGAAGAGTTATTACAAAGATGAAATAACACATGTAAAATGCTGGGCATAAAGTAAATTACATTTTCGCTTTGTGAATTTCCCTCTCAACTTCATCTTTGTCACTGATACTCAGGTCTATAATCTAGCTCAGTATTTCAAGTCCTATATCTCCAACTGTCTCTAATGCATTTTCAACTATATGATCTCAAATTATAAAGATCTAAAACTAAGTTTGATTTTTCCTCACGCCCCAATATATCCCAGTACCTGAGATTGAATCCTTAGAATCACCACCTTAGACCTTTAGGCTATTACAAATCACCAAGTTCTCTTAATTCTTTTGTTAAAATATTTCATTAACATCACACCTCCATACACAGAATGATAAAATAATAATAATAACGATAATAATAATAATAATAATAATAATAGCTAACATTTATGTTGTCCGTACAATGTGCCAGGCACTTTTCTAAGGTACATATATCAACTTATTTAATCCTTAAATAATCAAATGAGGTTTAAAGCCATTTTAGAGATAAGGAAACTGAGGCACAGAAAAGTTTAGCTTGCCAGAAGTTGTACTGCTAGTGCAAGGCAGAGCTGACATTCACACTCAGGTGGCCTGGCACCAGTCTCTACTCACCCCAAGGACCCTGCACTGCCCTGGAAGCTGTATTTCTCTCCAAGAGCACCTGTTGGGCTGAGGCTTTTGAAGAAGTCCTTCAGCCTTTAAACTCCATCCAATGTGCAGTTCAAAGTAAATTCTACATCAGAAAATCACCCAGACGGAAAGGGGTTCATCTGCACTGCACGGTGCCATTTCCTGCCTGGGTCCTCATGCAGTCTGTGGGCTCCAGGTCACCACCAATAACACACTTGGGTGGCACTGCTGACCAGTGGGTGGCACTGCTGACCCCACCCTACCCCATAACTAAAGTTACCAAAAATATCTTTCCCCCTTGGGTCAGTAAAGATATGGTTGTACAATAAATTTTCAAGTGGAAATGTTACTAGGTACTTAAGGAAAACAACAACCAAAATTCCATAACCCACAGAAATTAGTGAAGTCACCAAGTGCAAATTTATGATCCCAACTTTTTAACAGCCCTGTCTGTTTCCACATGTGAGAATGGATGCTTGACAGTGATGTAAAATGTGTATCTTGAGGTAGGTTTTAATCCTTTATTGTATGCAGGTCTGGTGCATACTCACAATTTCATCCCACATCCCACCTGCCCGTCTAGCCCAGAGCTGTAATATTCTCCAGAACCACTAACCCACTCCCCACATGTGGCTCCTAAAGACTCTTTCTGTAAAGCAGTTTCCTCAATCTGCACACTGACATTTGGAGCAGGATAATTCTGTGTTATGGGGGACTGTCTGGTACATTGTAGGATGTTTAGAGGCATTCCAGGCTTACCCAGCAGCTGTGATGACCAAAATCGTCCCTAGGTATTGCAACCTCTGGTTGAAAACCACAGCTCTAACCAATAGTCCTCAATATGTGGTCTCCAAGCCAGCAGCACGAACATCCTCAGGGAACTTATTAGAAATGTAAATTCCCAGGCCTACCCCAGACTCACTGAGTCAGAACTTCCAAGGAAAGAGGCCACTGACCTGTGTATTAACGTTCAGGTGCTTCTGATAGAACCTAAAGTTTCAGAACTACTGATCTCAACATAAAGCCATCCTTACAGAGTAAAGGCAACTCTGCTTTCTTTTTCCTAAATTGCCATGGCTCTGGGCCCCGAGGACCAACCCTTGCTTCAGATCCACTTCTCCTGGTCCTGTTTAATTCACCTGTAATCTCTTCCCTAAGTGGTTGTGAAGGCTGCATCTACTCTCTGGAAAAGTTGGCTCCTTCCCCTGGCATTTTAGATTGCTGAGCAGGCCTTGTGTCACCAGAAGCTGCATGGCCTCAAAGGCAGGCACCATCTTTCTCTAGAGACCAAGAGGCAGAAAGAGACCTCCAACTGTTCTGCTCCAAAGCCCAGATGTCCCTTTATACCCTTCACTAACTCCCTGCTTCTTGTCAGTTCCCTGCTAGCAAGCAGAAGCCACAACTGCAAGGTCCTGAGCTCAGAGCACCAGCAGTCCTTTCCAACTTCGATTACCAGCTCCTCCACTTCCCAGGTTCTCAGGGATGATTCACCTGTCAGGTGCCCTACAGGGAAGTGACCTTCCAGAATTTTCCCACTGTATGTTTCAACCATGATACCTTAAACATGGAGCCCTTTAGAATGTCCCAGGACAGTGGTCAGATCAGAGTCCATGTGGCAACTGAGCCTTCTATCACAATCCACTCCCAGAACAAACTTCCTGAATCTTCTTTCTCTCTTGCTCAAAAATTGCCATCAGCTATCAGCTAAACAGTGTTAGCAAATAAAAGTACAAACTTCTTAGTCAGACTTTGTGGTTTCCCATGGAAGGTGATGGGGCAGAATGATTTGGAGTTAGATTTAGTGGGACTCAATTCCAGCTTGACCACTCAGCAGTTACATGACCTGGGACAAGTCACTTAACCTCTCTGAGTGCCAATTTCCTGGTCTATAAATGGAAATGAGAAATCTGTCAGAGCATTACTGTGAGGATCATTGAAATTATGTATCCAAGCTGCTGGATTACTACACAAAAGCAATTATTACTACAACTTTGTTTTAATGAGATATTTGGAGGGTTTATAACCATGAACTCACCCCTAGCATGTTTTCAAAGCAGGTATCCCAGCCCTGGGTCACCCTTGGTATAATGAGCAAATGCATAGGTAGCCTCATCCAGCTCACCCCAACATTCTTGTGTTCCTTGAGATGCAGGGCTGAGCAAGAAAGGGGCCTCTTCTCACTCACACCCTCCTCACTGTGCCCCTCACCTACAGGCCTGCCTCTCAGCCTTCTCAAATCACAGAACATGTCTTCTAGCTCCAGGTCTGTCCCTAACCAGCTATCTGGGGCTAACTGATTTCAAAAGTTCCCTTTACATCTAAAATTCTAAAAAGGGATCATTTAAAAAGCATCAGGAGCAAAGTTAAGTGAGTATCGACCAGGGGTGAATATCAAACAATTCTAAAGAGCTCTGAAGTCACCAAGAAAATAAAATGTATTTCTGCACAGGAACAGCACTCCTGTAAAGGTGTGGTTGCGTATACAGCAATCTATATTATCACTAACGCCTCTTCCTCCTTTAACTTCTTGCCAACCGCTCCTCATTTCCATGGTAACAGCCCTTCCACTCATCGGGGACTACTGAACAAACCACTCCCATTTCCTTTCTCTTTCCTACCCAAGGAAGTCAGAGCAGAGGTGAACTCCACAGGAACGTGATGCAAACAATTTCAGGGTGGGCAGAGACCCCTACCTCACCCCACCTCCAAACCTCACACCTGCTCCACTCCTCTTGGAGGCTCCCTCAGTTCTCCCCACCTGCCCAGGTGCCAGCTTCCAAGGCCCCACACTCTCACCATATTGGAAATGCTGCGGGTGTTGGCAGGGTTCAGCATGACAATCTCAGTGGTGATGTGACCCTCCACCGCCTCGGTCATCTCATCCACCGTGCAGTTGATGGACGGGTCATAGATCTTGAACCAATTGTCAGCATACCACCCGATAAGGAACCAGACATACTTCTTCCCAAAGAGCCGTTCCTTGTATACCTGAAAGCAAAAAAGGGGGAGGGCTGGGTCTTTGTTTCATTGTTTGGTTTGTTTTTTTGGTCTTATCTCACTTGACACTATTCAGCCTCTTGGGTATCAGAGAAGAGCAGAGAACTGAAAAGAGAAATCTACAAGTCTTATGGGGGTGGGGGTGTTAGGAAAGCCTCCAATATTCCTTCAAAGATCCTACCCAACCTCTGTTTTTGAGTGGCCTTTTCCATCCAGTAAGGAAAGATGGGATTCACAGGCTCCTCCAGAAACACAAAGCAGCAAGAAAATGAGATCTGGAGAAAGTGCCATGTGTGTGAGAGGCCAAGAGATGGAGTCAGAGCCAACAGACAGGGACATCGTGTTAATCATCACCTCAGATCATTCACTATCAGCCTGAGCAGAAATGTGGAGAGGAGATCCTATGAGATCCCAAGGCAAAAAGCCTGCCCAGTCCCCCTCCCCCTTCAGATTTCAAATCCACCTCACAAAAGACTTTCCGGGCTTCAGTTTCATAGAAGAGTCCCACAATGATCCGGGCGTCTTGGCGCTACAAAACAGAGAGAAAAACAGAGCTCCTGAGGGACGCTTGGGACTGCGAGGGCTCAGCCAAGCGCATTCACAGCTTTGCATTCCTGTCCCGGAGAGCTCAGTGCCGGGTTCTGTTTGATAGGTAGTGCATAAATGTCACCTGGAAGACGGAGCTGAACTTCCGCAGGAGATGGTGCTGTCTTACGGAATCAAACTTATGTGACTGTGACGGAGGTGTTAGCTAACACTAGGGCAGCAATCATATTGCAATATAGATGTGTATCAATCAACAAGTTGTACACCTTAAGCTTACACAATGTTCTATGTCCATTATTTCTCAATTTAGAAACAAAAAAACAAAACTAGAAAGAAACCAACATTCCCCCACTGGGCTCTCCTCTCCAACCCACCACTGCTCCCCTGACCCGGTTCCTCTACAGGCTGAGCCCACCACCCCAGCCATCCAACCTTAAGGTTTTTGACGGGCACAGCTGGATCTGAGAAGAAACTCTGGCGGAAAGTAATCTCGATTCCAGCCTCCTTCACTCGTTCCTCTAAATCGTCCAGAGTCTTGAGTGGGAATGAGAAATAGAAAAAACATGGGGTGCACAGTGTGGTAAAAATCAGAGATGTTAGCTGGGGATTGCATACTCAACAAAGGAACAGTGGTTCTGAACGCTTCTTCAACACCTTCTGTTCTTGGGGTGGGGAGTGTCCAAAAAAAAAGCATCTGAAGTCTTAGCATGTGGCTTCTAAGTGGGAAGAGGCATGGTGAGCCCTTCCTGAGGATCTGTGTCCACAGCAGTCACCCCATTCACCCCCTCTTACCAGTGATAGCAAAATTGGGGAGAAAGGAAACAGGAACTCAGAAAAGACAAGGCAGAGTCTGGTAGAGAAAGGATGATGTCAACCTTAAAAGGCAAATGGGCAGACAGACAAAAGGACCAGAGAAGAATGTCCTGAATCACTGAGAGAACGTGGGGGGAGGATTAAAGGGCCACTGAGTGGATTGAGGATCCAAAGAATAGAATTAGAGAGGAAGCCGACTGTCTTCTTTGGGTAGAAGCGACTGTCTTCTTTGGGTAGAAGCGTATGTTTCCTCTAACTGCACAATCTCCCTCTCCCCCTTCCACCTTTCCCTGTTTGCCGGCATCTCTCTCTAAGTCAACTACCTGACCCTTGTACATATACTCGTCTATCTGCCTCTGTCTCCTCTCTTTCTCTCCCTCTCCCCTTCTTTCCCTCTCTACCTCTGTCTCTATCTCTGTCTCTGTCTCTCTCTCCATCTCCATCTCCATCTCCATCTTCCTCTTCCTCTTCCTTTCCCTCCCTGTCTGCGCCCTCTCCCATTCCTACATCCCCACTGCTTCTGTTCCCACTCACACATCCACCCCCCCCCAACTTTAAAGGCCTTGGAAATTTCCAATTTCCTTTGGGTTCCTTCGGCTATTTCCTTCCCACCGTTGCCCCACTTCTGGGGTGAACTTATTTAACCAGACTTGGTTATTTTCGGGTTAATCGCCTGGGGAAACAAAGAATAAAAGGGGTTAAAAAAAAAGTCCTAAAACCAAAAAGCTGGAGAGGATCCTGAAAATTCAACTTGTTCCCTCCTCTGATTACAGAAGAACATGTACTTAACCCGCTCGGAACGTGCTCTCTTTTGCTAAAGAATCAGTCTCCCCATGCCCTCCCCACCATGACGTCCCATCACCTCCCTGTGCACTGGAGTTTCAGGGCATGCCCCCTCTACCCCGTCCCTCCTCACCGAAGTGAAGACTTCGGTGGTCTGCTGGATGGTGGCGATCTTCTTCCAGCCCCACTTTTCGAAGAGTTTCACACGGGTAGGATTGTGGAGTGTGGCCGATGGATGAGTGCGGAAGAAGGTTGGAAAGCGCTGCCGGTTTGAGAGGGCTGGTGAGCTGGAGCCATAGGAAAGCTGGGAGGCAGGGACAGTATCACAGGGCGGGGTTATCCATGGATTCCATTGAGCTGCTGAGTTCCTCCAGCCCTTCCCTGCCTCTGGGCATCTCTCCCCACTCTCTCCAAGTATCCCTACTCAGCCCTGGGAGAAGAGGTTCCCCAAGGCCCACACGCCCCTCCCAATCAGGACTCTGTCACTGATCTCATTCATTCCTTGCGATGATGACAAGGTTGGAAGGTCGGCCGCAGCACTGTCAGGCCACTGCTGCCAGGAGGCTGATCAGTTCAGGCCTGCAAATAACTCGGTCTCGGACGCAGTCCTCTTAAATATACCCTCTCTTTAGCACAGCCCAAAGGAAACGGCCCACCTCTGTCTCCAGGCCCCGCTTACCACAATGAGGTTCCACATCCTGGCGGCCTCAGCCACAAGCGTGGACACGGAGCTGCAGCCAGGCATAAGGATGATCTTGATAGGGTCATTGTAGAGCAGCTCGTACAGGTACTTGGTGGCCTGGCCCGGGTCACACTAAGGGGGTGTGGGGTGAGGACAAGCTCTCCCAGCATTCCTCCCTTCCCTGCAACTCCTACTTTTATTTTCCCCAGAAACCACTTACTTCTCCCAACCACCCATCCCTCTGCCGAAACCCTTTTGTCATTGTTAACATGTTGTTCTCCTTCCAGACACCTCTTCCCAGTTTCCCTTCACTCTTAAACACCCTTCTCTCTTTCACCTGCTGCCTTATCCATGCTCCCCCCACATAGCCCTCCATCAGCCCTGATGCATATGCCACCTGCCCTCTATCACTCCTGCCCCTCACCCCGTGTTTCTATGCTCCAAACACCTGTGAGTGGAAGGGTCTGTAGGAATGTGAATAAACTCTTCCCAAGTCCTGAGGCAGCCTCCTCAGAGCCATATTATGAAAATTCCTCCCTCACCTCTGCAAACTCCCTTTCCCCACCTTCCATTTTTTTCCTCCCTCTTCTCTTTGCAGGGCTAGTGATAAATAAACAAGAGAGAACAGGAACAAGTCCACCAGGGGTCCAGCTCAGCATCCATCCCCTCCTGCTGGGCCCTGACAATTGACAGGTCCATTAGAAAAAGAGACACTCAGGAGTAGAAGAGGGGGAAGAAACAAGGATGGGGAAAGAACTGGGGAGAATAAATAGAATGACTCTCAAGGAACTAGATCCTTTTATGAGTGACTGAAGGAGATGACTGAAGGAGAGGCATGGTGATGGGTAAAGTAAACAATGCAGAAAGGTAGAGAGAAAAGGAATGATGGGAAGAGGGGAGGAGGTGGGGGAGAGCCAGCCACTGCCTATTTCCCTCCTGCTGGAATATGACATTTCAGAAACTGCTGGAGCCCCAAAGGAAGTGAAGAAGAAATGGAAGCCAGTGGGGAGCGAGGGCAGAGGGGACACAGACAGGAGGCACAGGGGACTGCGATGGGGGTGGAATGGGGAAGTTCCAATGAAATAAAGAAGGCCCCCTAGAGCCTGCTCGCTTTCCACGGAGGCCTGACATTTGGGGCACTGTGGGAAGTTGGAGAAGGGGGAGTCCGGGCAGGCTGACAGCCTGCAGAACCAACACTCCCCCAGAACTCCATGCCCACCCACCTCCACTGCTAAGGGCAGTGCTCAGTGTCTGCTCAAGGCTGTTTTTTGAAAGTTCTTCATCTGTCCCACTTGGGCATCTTTGTGTATCATTACCATTCTCAGGTCCCACCTTCCTGCGCTGTCCCAGCATTTGTTACTCCAGATTCTGCCCCCAGCTTCTCCCAAGGCCCCTCAGTGCCCCTCCCTTTCTTGTCTAAAAAAAAGGTTGATATGAATGAGGACATATAAGAACATAGGCGATATATACAAATGGCAATGGGTGCCACCCAATGTCTCTTCTTTTGTGTCCTCATCCCTTCCGTACCTTTTCTCACATCCCTTTCCCCCTTCCACGCCCAATGCATTACTACAGATTCCCTCCACCACCTGATTCTCACCCCTCCCCAGTACTCTTCCTGTTCTCTTCCCTCTCCTCTGCTCTTACAAAGGGTCCACATTTGCAGGCAGGAAACATATTCCAGTTTCTCTGCCTTTCCAGCTCCTCCATCTCCCTCCTCTCAGGTCTCCCATCTGTTCCCAACACCTCCAGGGATTCACTTGTCATGGTGGATGAGCCTGAGCTCACACACAGGGCTCCCTTAGCTCCCTGTGGTCCCCTGTCATAAAGCCTGCACCCATCCCTCCCTGTCTCACCCCCACTCACACCCACCATGGCCAATTATCTCTTGCTCTCCTAAGCTTGACCCTTCCATCAGATCTGATCCTCTATTTCTCGGTCGGTCCCCTCCTACCCTAATACCTAATTCTTTCCTGTGCCATGTTGCTCTTCCCATTCACATCCTGGGGTTAGCTACATAGGCACCCACCAGGGCAGGGTTTTTATTGGGAAAAACACGGATCCTTGGGACTCATCCCTAACCCAGGAGTTAGAACTGAATGTTTAGCAAACTCCTCTGGTGATTCTCTTGTACACTCAGAATCACTGTCAGGAGCGATTTGAAGTTCCCTCTCCAAGCCCCCAACCATCTTTGTGCTCTCTTCTCCTCAAGCTCCCTGCCTTCAACCCAACTTCTGCCCCCTTCTCCCTCACACACCTATTTCTAGGTGTAGATTACTGTTCTAAAGAATGACTATAAATCCTCAGTCCACCCCAAGTGTAAATCACCAAATCCTCACCCATGTACGCTATTTCACTGTTCCCCAATCCCTTGTCACAGGGCCACATGTCAGAGAAGATAAATTTGAGGCCCCAGATTTCCTTCCTTTCCTGTGCCACATCCTCCCCCATACTCCCAATTATTCATGTAGGGGCTAGGGGAGGGAAAGGAATCTTATAGGGTTATCTCCTACTACCCCTAAACCCAAATTTTCTCACCCCCCCCTTTCCTTATTCCCCCCAACCCTACATCCCTTCCCATATCTCAGAGGCTACATACTGTCAAGAAGATAAACTCCAGACCCAAGTTCCACAGGACGCCCCAGGCTCTCACTGTGCCTCCTTTTCCTTGCCCCCTCCCACATCGCCATTCCAGCTCCTTCCTGTTCTTTCTGCTCCCTGTATCCTGGCTCCTTTCCACCCCCGTGCTGTTGTAGGGGCTCCCATGTGGGCCTCTAATCCAGTTCACTTTCCCAGTGTCTGCAAGTCTCCTGACCATTAGCCTTCTCCAACCACAATATGCTACACAGTCCCACAGCCCAGGAACCTCCCCAGGACTAGGGAAGGAGGGATGAGTAGTCAGGTAAGAACACAGCTACCTTGCTGCTTCTTGTGATAAATAAACTAGAGCGCTCAAGAACCTCAAAATGTTAGTCATTGGGTGCCTATTCCTTCTAGCTCCAACCGGATCAAGCTTTACCTTGTTACCATGGTAAAAGTAAACCCCTGATCCAGCTCCCCACCTCTGACATTTCCTCCATCCCCCAACCCAACCCAACCCAGGGTTAGTTTACTCCCCAGAGGGTCACCATCAGCTTGTACCCTAAATCCACCTCCAGTTTCCCCAACCCCAGGCATTTCCACGGGTCTCTAAGGAGCAGAAGGGTCTGCCTCGCAACGTGATTAACCATCTTGAACCCCTTAGACCCTCATCTTGAACCTCCAGCCGATTCTCCCCAAGCTCCTGCACTCCCAGCCCTTCTCCTGCTAATCACACATGGGAGGGGTCTGCTTCAGAATCCCAGAAGTCATTCAGGCTGATGGCGTAGAGCTGGCCCCTGCTCCCCAAGCCCCCACCTCCCACCCGCTCCCAGGGCCGGGGCTACCTTGCTGTCGTGGTGAATGAGCTTGAGCTCATAGTCCGGCAGGATGTCCCTGCGGCTATTCACGTCCTCCAGCGCCATCTCCACCGCGGGCTGGCAGGCCTGGCCCCCTGGCCAGCCCCCGCTCATGGGAAACAGCGCCCCGATGTACACTGCGCGCCGTTCTGAGGAGGGGTGCGGGGGTACCCGCGGGTGAGGCCGCGGGAGATGGGGGGAGTGGGAGGCCCACACCACCGAAGTCACCCCCGCCGCCATCACCACCAGCAGTGGCAGTGGCCACCCCGCCCGAGGAGAGGGGGCCCCCAGACCCATGGCGGGGGGAGGGGGCGGGAGGTAGCTGCTTGGGGTGGAAGAGCTCAGGAGGGACACTTGTCCTGGGGAGGGCTGCTGAGGGGGTGTCGAGGGGGCGCCTCCATCCCTGGTTTTGTGGGGTGGAGGGGACTAGGGCCTCGGGGAAGCAGGGAAGATTGGCTTCCTACGGCCCCCACGGCTCTAGCTCCCACCACCGCCACCGCCGCTGCCAACGCCACCGCCAGCCACCGCGGACTCTCCTCGCGGACTGACCGAGAGACCGAGGGGTGGAGGAGGGGGATGGAGGCAAGCGCCGCGGTGGGAACGACAGCCAGAGGGAAGAGGAGGAGAAGAGGGAGAACGCGACCCCCAAACAGAAAGGAGCGTTCAAGGAAGGCAGGGGTCCCACCTAAGGGGACATTAGGGGGAGGAGAAAAAGAGGAAGGGGCGTGCCAGGAGAGCGGAGTGGGCGGAGCGAGCCGCCGGAGCCTGAAGCCCTGAGGTACGGAGGATGAAGAAGGGAAAGACAGGAGTGGAACGCAAGAGGAAAGGGGCTGGCGCCTGACCGTATTAATGAGGGTGTGAATAGCTGGGGTTAAGGAATGAGGGCTGTGAGGGAAAGGGCGATGGGAAGGGTTTTGGAAAGAGATGGCGGGGTGGGGAAGGTGGGGGGTGCAATGGGGAGTGATGGAGATAGAGGTAGGGAACAAGGGGCTGAGTAGACCGAAGCCTGAGAAAGGGTGATGGGAGAAGGAACTGAGATAAAAGAGAAGGAAAGGGATATGGGGAAGGAAAGGATACGGGGAGGCGCTGAAGCAGAGAGGTGAGGCTGGGCTGATGGAATCCTCAGGTGAAATCCCAAGGAGGGGGCAGGCAGGAAAATGTTCCAGAGAGGGTCGGAAGGAACCCCACAGGGAAAGACAAGGCGGAAGCTCGCGGGTCTCCCAGCCCCCTGCCGCCCCCTGCTGGGGCGCAGCCATTTGGGAGAAGCAGAGTCTGGGAGAAGGCGGAGCCGAGGGAAGTGCGGCCAAGCAGGGAGATGGGAGGGACAGCGGCCTCGCAGAAAACCGGGACTGGAGTCAGGAAACAGGTAGGGAAAGAAGGGGTCGGCCGCCAACTGGGGTGGGTGGGGCGAGGTGGGAGAAAGATCCCGACCCCATAGCCTAGGGGCAGAATCCCTGGGGATGGAGGGTGAAGAGTGACAGGTCTGGGTATTGCAGTGCACGCGATAAGGGTTTCACCTCTCACCTGAGTGTGGCGTTCGATTCACTGGCAGCAGGAAAGACGGGGATCAGAGAAGAGTTACCACGGGCGCCCAGCTCCCCTGGCCTCATCCCCAGCACCCTCCCACACCTGTCCATGCCGAAGACTGGGGAGGGCAGAAGCTGCGTTTCTGAGGGGAGGGTGCCTGGGGATAGGAGGAAGGTGGGGCTGTGGGTCAGGACTTGGTTTTCTTTTATTTTTCATAGGAGAACAGAATTTGAGACAGGAGTGCCTACAGCTAAGACATGGGTAAATCCTGGTTTTGTGGAGCCTGGATATTACAAATTTTTTGGGGGGGAGGCCTCTCTTTAGGAAAAAAAATTACAAATTACAAATACAATTGGTTTCAACCTATCGCTGTTAAAATATCTTAACTTGTGCAATTTTTACAAAAACCTATGACCACGTGACCACATTAATAGAGCTCTCTACATTATTAGAGCACAGGAGAGGCCTGTGTAAATGAGGAATCCGAAGCTTAAATTTTATCAGCTTCATAGTTAATCCACCCCTGGATGGGACTCCCAATTTGCAGAATGCAATGATAAGCTACAAGCAGAATAATTAAGAGAAAAGCCAGGTCCAAGGATCTTGAAAGAGTCTACAAGGGTAAGAAGAGTTAAGGTATGCCTGCATCCCAGGACAGGAGGCTGCAGAGGGAAAATCTGGATGCCCAGGAAAGAGGGAAATTTGCAGAACTAGATGGCTGTACAGGTGGTGGACACAAACCCGGTTCCCTTGGGAAGTGATGGTGGTTGTCTGGAAGGTATGGACAAAGAGTGCTCCCCATCCCTGGGTTGCCCTTAATGCTCTGACAGTGCTGCCCCTAGTTTTAAGCCTTTTCAGTTTTTATCCTGATAATTTTCTACCCCAGATAGCCTTTCTAATCTTGTCAACTTTTCTAACTATCTGACATGACTTATTTCTGAGTCTGTACAATAATTCAGTTATAATGAATGGAGAGGAATCAATTCTAGAAGAGGGTTATGCATAGAAAGTTCTAAGTTTAGAGAAAGGCACTGAGGCTAGAGAAAACTGGAGTATTTAAACCATAAGAAGGGTGATGGAGGGTGAGATTCAAAAAGGAAAAGAGAAAATGTGAGCCTCAAAAATTGGGAGCAAGAAGATATAAAAAGAGAAAGGTGAAGGAAGGATGCCCCAACCCAACAGAAGTAAAGTGGAAACTGGGGACTGCAGGAGGACATCTGAGGCAGGTGGATGGAGGAAAGAGTTGGGCTTTCACCTTGCCTCCCAGAGCCCCCCCCCATTTTCTGTAGCACCCAGCCTTTTCCCACCATCCATTCTCAGCCCACTCCCATCCTCTCATCAGCTGCATGCAGGCAGCTGTTCCCCTCACCCTGGCAGTGGGGCTTGGGGGTACTCCACTGCCCCTGACTACAGATGCTCCGGGAGCCGCCCACCAGATGGAAGTCGGGGTCACATCGGAAATCCACCCGGGCTCCGTCCAGAGCTGGGAGGTCCCCACCCGTCAGGAACACCTTTCCATTTTCCAGGATCAAATAAGACTTGGAGCAGATTCGGACTGTGGAGAGATAAGAAAATAGAGAGGTGGTTTGGAGAAGGCTCCTTTTTTCCCTTAGAAAGCAGAAGGCTCAGCTTGGGGTTTGTGCCCTCAAGCATCCTACATTGCAGGAAATCGGTGTAAAAAAGGTTGGCCTCTCTAGCTTCCAGTCCTCCCTTAGCCTTGGAAACTTCCATACATCCCCAAGGGAAAAAAGGAAAAAGCACTGCCATGTAGGAACCCAAGATGGAGCTATACGCACATAAAATGCCATCTCCTCAGTGGGCGGTTCTCTAGCTTTGAGATGTGTGGATGTATGTGACTTTAGATGCACAATCAGACATGCCTTTCTTATTCTAGTTGGCTTGTATTAATGTTAAACTGGGCTCTGTTTCTTGGGTATATGGTCTCTGCATTGGAGACAGAGGTATTGGGAAATGTGATGAAAACATTTTACAATGTTTTTGCATAATTGCCACTAATAATCCTCAAAGAGAATAAGTGACAGGATGAATAATCAGGTTATTTTATCAATGGTCGGTGGCCTAACGAAGAAGGATGAAATGAAATGTGCAGGCTAACTTTATTGCCTCCAACTGTGCACGGCAAAGTCCCTCTTACACAGCAGTGATTCAATAAATGTATTTGTGAATTTAGTTACACTGGACTTAAAAATGCTGACTTGCAAACAGTAATGCTAAGTTTGAAGCAGGAAGAGGAATGGTCCTGAGGAAGGGAGGGGCTTCGGGAGGTACTCACCACAGCGGCTGGGTGTGTCCATATCTGTCCAGGAGCCATTTGCCAGGCACTTGCGGACCTTGGGCCCCACCACCTCGCGCTCCCCGCGGCACACATACTCAATCTCATAGTCCACAGGCAGGAAGTTGATAGCCTTCACCTGGTCCCGAGTCAGGCCCCTGTACCTGATGCCCCCTTCCCAGGGCGGGTGTATGATCTGGCAACCTGAGGGGTGAGTCAGGAAGGAGTAAAGAGAGGAATGGTGGGAAAAAAGGAAAAGGCCGAGTCAGCAGCGGAGGGGGGGGGGGCAGGAGAGCCTAGGGCGTGGTCAATGGGCAGGTGGAGAACAGAGGCGGGGTGGGATGGGGCGCTAGAGGGTGGGAGCGGTGACGGGTGCAGAACTCCGCTAAGGACAGAGTAATGAGCCAGGGTTAAGGCTAATGAGAGAGCCCCAAGTCGGGAGGGAAGGGTGCTTCTGGAGGTAAGGAGAAAAGTAATTAAGGAATCATGAAGGGGCGCGATGCGAGTGAGCTAGGTAAAAACGCTAAAGGAGGATATTTGAGTTGAATTTGGATGAGATGAGACAGAAGTCATGTAAGGCCACCTGGACAGAAACGCAGGACCAAGGGAAGGGCAGAACTGGGGTAGTAATGTGGGGGCCAGGAAAGGGGTGGAATTGAGGCAATAACGCCAGGTCACAGAAAGGTGGCCTAGTGTATTAATGTGGGGCTGAGAAAAAGGGGTACTGGGTAATAATGTGGGGTGACAGGGAGTCAGCAGTAGTAAAGTGGGTTAGATGAGACTGGGTTGCCAGGCCAGGATGCTTTGTAGGGCTGACGGGATAGTAATGAGGACCAGGAAAGGAGTGGGGTGGAAGGGTGCCCGAGGTCGCCGGAGAAGAATGCACCTTCTGAAGTGGCGTTGGGGGTCTGCGCCCCGCCCGCGCCCGGGGGGCGGAGGAAGAGCGGCACCAGCAGCAGCAGCAGTAGCATCTGAGTGAGAGGAGGCCGTGAGGACCGGACAGAGCCCAGCTGGCACGGCCCGGACCCGGGAGGCGACTCGGCCTCCCTCCCGTGGCCTCCTAGGCTCGGACCCTGCTCAGCCTGAGAACGAGAGCTCCCAGAGACCGAGGCGGGGGCGGAGCCCGGCGCGGGGTGGGGGGAGAGGAGGAGAGAGAGCCTGTCCCCACCCTCCTCCTGCCTCCCGCGGCCCCCCCACCCTCCCGGGACTCCACCTCTCACCACCTCCTCTGCCCCGGCCCCCGCGGCTATCCGGAGCCCGGCTTACCCACGCTCTGGAATCCTTCCCCGCCGTCCCTCCTCCCCTCGAGCCCCCGAGCCCGCAGCGCAGCCCTCCCCCGCGCGTCCCTCTCCAGCCCCGCTCCCCCCTTCCCTGGCTCTTACCTCGGCGCGCCGGCCCATCTCCCCGGGTCTCCCCGGCCTCAAGGCCCCAGGCCCGGCCGCTCCTCCCGCTCCCCACTCCCTTCTCCGCCACCTTTCCCCTCCTCCCCCTCGAATCCGAGCTCCTGCCCAACCAGGGTCTCTGCCTCCTCTCTCGCTTCCCTCGATCCCACCCGCGTCTCTCCTTCCCCGGGGCAGCGGCGGCAGCGGGAGCGGGCAGCCGGGAGCGAAGGAGGCGGCGCCGGGGACCCGGGAAAGCTCCCGGGCGGAGGGAAGAAGGAGGGTGCGGGAGGAGACAGGGCGGGGGGAAGAGCGGGGGAGACGGGGAGAGGGCCCCTCCTACAACCCGAGCCCCGGGAGCCGCCCCGGATCCCGGCCCCGCCCTGGACCGCCCACAGCGCCGGGGGGCAGGCGGAGGGCTCCGGAGAGGGAGAAGCTGGTGCACCCGCGGGCACGGCGGGGACCCGCGGGCGAGACTGCTGGGAACTGGGGTGCCGGCGAGCGAGGCAGAGAAGCTGGCGCTGAGACAGGGAACCTGGGAGGCAGGTGGAGAAAGACGGTGACACAAAGAGAAGGCAGCTATGGATCTGCGTGCGAGGAGAGAGGCAGAGGTCAAAGGCCAGGCAGAGAAGGGCGGGAGAGAAAGGAGAAGCCAGGGTCCGACAGCGGAAGGGCGGGGAGGAGAGGGGGTGAGGGCGCGGACCCGAGAGAGCGGGGAGACCAGAGTGGCCCTGTGGGTCCAGCAGCATCGCTGCTCACCTGCTCCGGGGAAGGAACGCGTAGAGAGAGGATTGAGCATGAAGGAGAGCAACTGAGATAGTAGGAGGAGAAGAAAAAAAAAAGGCAAAGACAGAAGAGCCTCCAAGTGGGCAGGAGCCAGCATTATCTTGACTCCAACACGGCCTGGCAATCAATATTTCTTGACTAAGGGAGAACTGTGAAGCTCGGTAGACAGAGTGGGGGAAAAACAGGCCTTTTGACAATTCTAGGGGCTTCTGCTATTGTCTGGTGGTGCAAGGTGTGTGTGTGTGTGTGTGTGTGTGTGTGTGTGTGTTATTGCTCAAGGGAGTGAGTTTGGGAGAGAGGAGATGGGGCTCATTTTTTGGGGGGCGGGGGGGGAATAAACGTCTTTCTGCCTGGTCCTGGGAAAGAGGTAGGGAAAAGCCAAACACTGTGAGACTAACTAAAACTGAGGTTCTCGATCTTCAACCTTTATAACAAATATTGTGTAATGACTCCTTTACTATGCTGATTTGAAATTCATAGATAATATAAACTACCTACATACATATTACTTAAAAAAAAACAACAACATGCTTCCCTCTCTGTAACATAAAGGGAAATGGGAAAAAAAGTAATATGTAGTAAAATAGCATAAACCATATTTTAACATATGAGTGTTGAGGCCGACTGCACGATGAAGTGGGCAGGTGCTTGCACTGACCCTTAGAATCACGGGATAGAACTGCTTCAAACGCGGACTAACACAGGTGCTGAGCTGGTGACTCAGCTATCTCCAAAGTGTTGCCATCAAGGAAATGATTTTAGGAAATGTTGAACTACTCATAGCAAAGTCAACCTTCCCTAAATTTATGCAGAACTGTAATTGCATTCCTAGAAAGTTCATTGTATATTAAAACCGTTTTTTTAACTGTATTAAATTCTAGACTCAGATAATTAAAGACAGGTTTCACCTACATGAATGTCCTAGGGGACATTTGAGAATCTGGATGAGGGACAGTTATTCATTGTGCAGGCTATGCTTTGAAGAATATCTTAAACCCCTGCCCTACCCATAAATGCCAATGTGCCCCCCCGCCGCCATTATTGTAATTACAAAAAAGAAAGCCCACACATTTTGAAAAAGGTTCCCTAGGGACTGGTTGAAAACCACTGAGATAGAAAATAGGCAGAAGAGAAGGAGTAGAGAATGCGGCAGGATTTCTAATGAGTCAAAATGGCAGTCACTACCCCTCTGAGTGACCTATCCTCTCAGCAGGGGACAACCAAAATATGTGGGATTTTATGTCAACCCAAACAAAGTTATTGACACCAGGAAAATGTCACATGGATAAGAAGTTTCCCAGACTACTTTGGAAAGAACGGCTCCCTGGCTCTGTGCCCCATCTACAGGCTAGGTCAGCTGCCTGGCCAGTGAGACACCCTCTCTCTGTGCACCTGTATGGTCCTGGCATGGCTGAGTGCCCAGAGGACACCATCCCCAGGCCCAGCAGGGCCTTTCTATAGGAGAGTGTCTGAGTAGGAGCTCTCTAGGGAGCCTACAAACAAGTTCTCAAGGTCCTTATCTAGTCTTTTATGCTGGCAACTTGTCTGGCTTCCCTGAAGTTCTGCCTGAAATAAGAGAATAGGAAAGAAGGAATCCACCCTGGAAACGCGGTGTCTATGAGTCTACGAAATTGAAAACTATCTTGGTGATATTCATTACCACACTGCTGATGTTTAATCAGAAAAGGAAGATACCTTAATATATAAGTCACCATACTGATTCAGTAAATTGGAATGTATCCATTCCTGCAAAGGAATAGTTATGAAAACATGTTTAAAAGAGTATCTTTCAATGACATTCACATTGAAAACAATGAGAATTGGAGGGGAAAAGTGGATACAAAATTTGTATAACTAGCATATGTATCACTTCCTCCTTTCACCTTCTCCTTCTTCAGTGTCACTTTCCAGATTCCTGACCCATACATTCCTCAGGACATATATGGAGGTCCTTCCCCCACCACGGCTTGAGTATCCTAACCCCGCCCTCCCCACAGCCTAGCCACTCCTTTCTTTAGCTTACAAATAAAACTCTTCTCCTCTGGGAAGGACCTTGAACTTGATCCCCTGCTTCTTCCCTTACTCCTGTATCCTTTGTTCCTTTGGATTTTTTACTGTTTTTCATAGAGACGAGGAGTTCCTACTCAGATTACCTGAGAATCACCAATCTTCTTGTTCATTTTATTTCCCTTCTGCTTCCTTTCTTTTCTGCTTCATCTTCTACCAAACCCTGAGATCCTATCGTACAGCCCAGAACTTAACACCCCACAAGATTTGAAAACATATTAACCAAAGTAGCTCAATTTATCAATAACCTGCTAGATGCTATGTGTATTAGAGGCATATCTAATTTAATTCTCACACAGCCATGCAAAGGAATTATCAATGTCCTTATTTTGGAGCAGAGTAAACTGTGATTTAGAGAAAGAAGCAAATCAAGGGTTACCCAGCTATAAAATTGACAGAGCCAATATTTGAACTCGAGTCTATTAGTCCATTTCCAAATTCCTTCTACTGCATTCAGACACTTGGTTTCAAGGTGCTCCTCTCACCTAATCCCCACCCCCAATGCATTCTTTATCAAGGGTCAAACTATATTTCGGTCCCCTTTTCCCATCGGAAGTACCAGTAGTCAGCATGTGAAGGGAAGATATGCAGATCCTTACATTAGGGTGAAAGGCTTGTCTTTAGAGAGAGCTTTCTGTCCTACACAGCTCTTGCTGTGTAGGACAGTGTATGGAACAAAGGTTTAAAATTCTAACATGAAATGATTTACATGCTGGGCTTCACTCTGGCAGTTTAATAAGGGCTTGAACCCTTTGTGTCATACTTTAATATCACTAAGGCTTCCCTGTTGGACCCTTCTCCCCATTTTTTATTTGTGTGTTCTCTCTCTTCCTCTCTTGATAAAAATAGGCACTCATAATCATAGGCACTCAGGGCCATAAGAAGGTAGGAAGATGAGGGGAAATCTTTCTTTAACAAATCCTCTCAATTGCTCCCCACACATAATTCTAGTTCAGTCGTACATTCTTGACACTTTTGGCCTTGGTTCTTTGTGCCAGAAAAAGGAAACAGGAAAATTACAGAGCTACTTGTATTATGCCTTTACAGGCGTATACAGGGGAACCCAGTCTGAAATTCACAAAATTTCAATGAAATAAAAAAGGCACATTGTAAACGCCAGCTCTGACGCTTACCTTGTCTACTCACAAGGTTCTCTGCGGTGTGGGGAGCACAGATGCTCAGGGCCAGTAACCCGATTACGAAATTGACAGTGAGTTGCCTCTATAAATAATTTCTCCATAAATGAGCCCTTCTAGAATAAATGAATGAACACAATGTAGTAAAATGCTAGGTTAACCTAAGCAACAAAAAGGAAAATAGTATACTTGTTTGTTTCTTCTGCTAAAGGGTATATGATGATGTCAGGTTAACAGATTTAGAAAAGATTCAGTTCTTACAAACAAATTTAGTGCATTTTTCTACTCCTGGAACTACAAAATAATTGTATTTTATAGGATCTTAAAATAAATATTATGTTTAATTAAATATATAATTAAGTATATACCTGGTATGAATATCTATACATAATTATTCATACCAGTCTAAAAATCATATGCAACATAATGCATGGATGAAATTGGTTGGTAGGGTTTTTGTTTATTTTGCTGCAATAGAATTGTCTCTTCCACTATGTCAAATTCAGGTACTTATAATGAATGTTCATTTATTCAAAACACACCAGCATGCTATCCAAATAACACTTAGAGTAAAAAGACACATCACCCAGATTTTTCTATTAGAAACTACAGGAAACCGAAAACTCCATTATTTGATATGTGTACGCTGGTCCCATAATAAGCATAATTGCGTTTCTGCAGTAAAATGCATGACTATTAACATTAGGTGGAGTAAATAAAGACTATCAATAGTTTCACGTCTGGTTTTGGCACAAAATGAATGCAAGTCAGGCCAGGTTTTGCCACCAAATGACTTAGAAACAAAATTTTTGGTTTTCAGAGCATTGTGGATTTTGGGATTACAGAAAAGGGTGTGTGGAACAAAAGCATAAACATAAGAAATTATTTACAAATAGATGTTCTAGAAGTCAAATGAACAAATCTGAGGCAACAGACTAGAAATTCTACTCATGGAAATACCATAGAAAACCCCAGCGAGAATCCCCATACAGGCCCTGTATGGAAACCGTGCCCCTCTTACAGTGTGTGGGTCAGACTGCCCTGCCCTGGTTCAGGGCCTCGAATGTCCTCTTCCGATCCAGTAGCAGGGGAAGCCTAGAACAGATGGGAAGCAAGCTCTG